ACTACATGGTTTAAAATCAAGAAGGGAGTGCATCAGGGTTGTATTCTTTCTCCACATTTATTCAATCTATATGCTGAGCAAATAATCCGAGAAGCTGGACTGTATGAAGAAAAATGTGGTATCAGGATTGGAGGAAGAATCATTAACAACCTGAGATATGCAGACGATACAACTTTGCTTGCTGAAAGTGAGGATGACTTAAGGCACCTACTGATGAAGGTTGAAGAATACAGTCTGCAGTATGGATTACGTCTCAATATAAAGAAAACAAAAATCCTCACAACTGGACCAATGAGCAGCATCACAATAAATGGAGAGAAGATTGAGGTTGTCAAAGAATTCACGTTGCTTGGTTCTACTACAATCGATGCCAAAGGAAGCAGCAGTCAGGACATTAGACGACGTGTAGCATTGGGAAAGTCAACTGCGAAGGAATGTATCAAGTGCTGAGGAGCAAGGATATCTCCTTGAGGACTAAGGTGCGCCTAACACAAGCCATGATATTTCCAATCACCTCATATGCATGTGAGAGCTGGACAATGAATAAGGAAGACCGAAGAAGAGTTGATGCTTTTGAGTTGTGGTGCTGGCGGAGAATGCTGAAAGTACCATGGACTGCTAAAAGAACTAACAGATCTGTCCTGGAGGAAGTGCAGCCAGAATGCTCCTTGGAAGCAAAAATGGCCAGACTTTGTCTCACCTATTTTGGTCATGTTGTAAGAAGGGACCATTCCCTGGAGAAGGATGTCATGCTTGGTAGTGTGGAGGGTCGACGAAAGAGGGGGAGGCCTTCAACGAGATGGAGTGACACAGTGGCTGCGATGATGGGTTCAAGTATAGCAGGGATTGTGGGGCTGGTGTGGGATCGGGCAGTATTTCGTTCTGCTGTGCATGGGGTCACTATGAGTCGGAAACGACTCGACGGCACTTAACAACAACAACAACTTATGCTGTATTTTGCTGTTTATGATTTCTTCAACAGCTTCTTGTTTCCTGATCCTCTGGGTAGTCTTGAATGGATTTACAGCTCAGTGACAGGCACGGGAGTCTTTCTTTGATCAAAATATGTGAACTAATGGAGATATGATGGTCAGAAAACAACCGTGGATCATAATCCCCATGTGGAAAACATCTAAATACAGTTTTGGATGGGTAAATGCGGATTCACCTTGTCTGTTCCCTTTATTTCACAAAATGTGAAGTGGGAATGTGGCCTGTAGGGTGGCTAAGTAGCGGTGTGCTGGTCAATGTTTGAAAACTGGCTCTCTGGAAAAAGAAAAGCCTTGATTAGTACTATTGGCCAATTTCTGTGGTGTAAATATTCTTACTATAGCCATTTTCAAGCTAACAACTTGATTTCACTGAAGGCAGACAGTGGAAAATGAATATAGGTAGTCCCTGACTTATGACTGGGTTCTGCTCTGTTTAGGACTCCATCATAAATCAGTTCTGACATAAGTTGAGTGCCTCTCTCTTTTTTTAGTTTTCATTATTACTGCTTTTTATTGTCAATATCTTTATAAACCTGATCTTTATTTGTCTTTGGGGATTGGAAACATTATCTATAAGCTTGCAGATATATGTTAACATTGTATGTAGTATATATTACTAACAATAAGATATACAAAAAACAGACAGTTATAAATGCGGTTCATTGTAACTTGAATATGTCTTAAGTTGGGGACTACCTGTATAATTTTTTCTTACAAGTCAGTGCACACTAGCTCCAGCACACTAGTCGACCAAGAATGATCTGACTGGTGGGTAAGAACAGGAAAATACTCTGTATATGCAGAGGCATATCTACAGAAAATAGCACCTATGGTAAGCACTGAAATTGCACCCCTGTCCAAACCTCTGATCCCCATCTTTTAGATAAATTTACCATTATACCATTGAAAAATATAAGTCACGTTTGTTAATCTTTTACTTAACATATTATGGCAGTACATGAAAATTGCAACTGCACTTTTCTTGCTTTCACTGATGAAAATTGGTTTCTGTTGTGCTCTATTACTATTACTTTTTTGAGTTTCTTCTTTCTTTATTCAGCAGAGCAAGATCACAGTCTGCCTTGATCCATGGAGACTCTGAAATATGAAAGCATTCATTTTAACTTGCTCAATGATCTTTCACAGCTAGTGATGGAAACTTCCATAGTTAGTAGATGCTCAGTGGAGCCTCATTCAAGAGGTGCCCAGGGCACATGCCATACCTGCCATACCTTAGATACACCTTTGTGTATATGACAGTTTAAGATATGAGAGGACTGAAGTCTACAAAACATTGAGTTTCTACTTTAAGGAAAACAGATTTACTCCCCTATAGCCAGTTTGTAGATCTGGACTCTTATTCTTCAAATTGAGGGCTGACAGTATGGGTGATATAACCATTAATAATCTAATGGTCTTACTACTGTAACTTCTATATCTTTATAGTTTTTAAAGTTTCTAAAATTGCCTTGTATCTGAGATACAAGTGACTGAGAATCATTTTCAGTCCAATTCCTTATATCACGAACCAAAGAAATTACCAGCTTCTTTCTAGTTCAGGAATATCAGTATAACCTACATTATAATATAATTCACAAAAGAAATAATTTTCTCTCCATCAAATAAGTAAAGACTGTTGCTTTTTCCCTAGCAAAGCAAAAGATTGAATGGTTTACTGTACTAGCCAATTATAGAAAGAATAACAGTAAAATATCTCATTTCTTTATAGAATATGTACCTTAAACAGCAGTGTGCAGATGCATAGCACTGATGCCTTACTAAATAACTACTGTTAAAACTTACTTTAAAAATACTTTTAACACTAGGCACTGGTGGAACCATAGCTGATATTATGCATATTATATCTTTTTGCATCCCAAAGGGTAATTAACATTCCTAGTTGCATTAGAAAAGAATGTACTTATTAATATTTATGCAGATATACAAATTCTCATTTCTTTTCTGTAAAAAATCTTATAACTCTACTGTGCACCAATGAAAACACTTTTTCAAACAACCTGAACTTAGACTGAGTACATAATGTTTACTCTATAAATATTACAAACCCAATAAAAACATAATGATAGAATACAAAGTCTTTTGTTTTTTAAAAGTCAAGTTTTAAAAGATTGTATTTATACAAATACACAATAGTTTTTTACTGCCCTCTGACAGGTATTTGTGTTTAGGATTATCTAAGTCCAGAAATCAAATCCAAAGTTTTTCATTAGTTTTCTGCTTTAGAATGGGAAGACACAGAGAACTCACAGAATTACATTTTCAAACAGGATTGGCTAAAAACTTTACAAAGTGGGATTGTTAGCATTCTATAATAAACCTGCTATGAAAGATAAAATGCCTTGTTTTCCTGTATTTAACTTAGATAATTATCTCAACTATATCTCCTTTATCTACACAGATAGAGTCTTTAAGAGGATAGTGTAGAGTTTAGGTTCTCTAACAAAACCTAAAATACCACTAAAGCCATTTTCCACTTTCAAAGTGTATTTAATGAAATGATTATTTCAATATAAGATCTGAAAGTACTGCCACTGAGTCAATTCTGACTCATGGCGACCACCACTGGGTTTCTGTGGCAGTAAATCTCTATGGAAGTAGATTGCCCAGTGTTCCTTCCTCAAAGTGGCTGGTGGGCTTGCACTGCCAACATTCTGTTTAGCAGTCAAATGCCTTTGGCACTGTGCCACCAGAGCTCCTTTAACAAAATCCAAAATATCACAAAAGCCATTTTCCACTTTCAAAGTGTATTTAATGAAATGTTATTTCAACTTTAGATCCAAAAGTACTGAATTGAGACATATTAGTATCATAGCTAGCCAATTACCTACTTGGCTTTAGCCAAGAGTAGTATTATTACAACTGATTCCAAATTTAAGCATTTGGTTTTATACTATAATACTATATTTCCAAGTGTGTGTGTGTGTGTGTGTGTGTATATACACACACCATATATATAAAGAGCTATTTTTTTTCCTCTTAAAAGAATAGTAAAATGTTTCAGCCATAAAATAAATCAAAATTTTTTTTTTGGAAAAAAAATCCATGCCAAGATAATAAATATTGTTTTAAACTTTAGAATAACTGTTATAAAAGAACTATAAAATTGTAAATTTCTGGAAAAAATACACTGAAAATGTCTGTCTAGGAAAAAATACGCAGTTTGTTTGATGCAAGAAAATATAGCATTACCTTAGAGAGCAGCCAACTAGGACCTGGCTTATTAGACTCAAAAAATTCACAAAAAGTAATTAGCACCAAAATTCGCTAAAACCTAAAATGATATACTGAAGTGATTCTAGGTCCAAGTTTTACCTTATAAAAATGTTACATTTAACCTGCGAAGTTTCCCCAGTAATAATATATATATATATATATTATAATATATATATATTTCAATCCTTAGAAAACATGCTAGTTTTATGACTTTCATTGAAATATTAAGGTAGTGTATGGTAATTATCATTTGTTGTTATCATTCATTGCTTTGGATTGAGCAGGAACAATAGAAATCCAAGCACTTCCCAAATAATATGAAATTATTTGGTGGGGGTTGGAATGAATGGAGAGTCGTTCAATTAAAACTTATTTTTAGCTTCCATTTCATTAGTATTTCTCCTAATATGTCTTATTGGAGGTCTTCATAAGAGCATATTCACTGATTAAAATTCCACATCCTTTATTTTCTTGCTTGCTTTTTGATGGTATTATTTAAGATTTGGGGTTGGGGTAGAGATGTCTAAAAGAGGTCACATACTGTAATGAAACCAGAGTTTCGAATTAGCTACAAATTGTATATTCAATCCTATAATAATCAAGAGTTATGTTTAATTTTAGACAATATCCATATACAAATTTAATTTGAAAAATAGCCAGCACACAATTTAAAATAAAGCAAAATTTTCCATCTTTCATACAGTAGAATATATAAATTCATCAGTTACATAATATGGGTAACAAATGTCAAACAACAGTTCATTTGACCATGTTTTACTGTTGCACATAAATAATGACAAGGCAAAGAACAGCAACTAGTCCAAGGGCCTGTAGGCCAAGAAACCACAGCATGACCCAAAAGAAAATGACTATTACTGGTTCCACAATTCGTTCTCCAAAATACAACCTTGTGAAGCCCATGCTGATAAGACTTTTGTTCAGTTCACCAAAAAGTGTTCCCATCTTTTTGTAGTCATCTCCGACAGGCTCGCCAGTGTGGTTTTGTGATTCTTTAACATCCTTTGGAAAGAAAACAAGACAAAACAAAATACAACCATAAAACAAGAACTATGTGACAGCCTTTAGGAAATAACGACTATTTCCATCTTGCCTTTCAAAATTTATTCAGTAAATAGGCTAACTTAATAGAATGAGAATGTTCCTTTTGATTGACATTTCAAACAACTGTGTGGTGCCCACTTTTCAAGAACATGAAAAACACTGACTTCTGTGGGACTAGTATTGACTGGAATCTTAACTACCAGAGCTCTAATTTACAAGATGAAGGAAGTAGTTAATAATTTTCATACATTTTCTAGTTTCTGGAATGGCATAAAGACAGTTTCTTAAATGAAGAAGGACGAGGTTTGTATTTCTCTTGTCAGTGATCAGGATTTTAGAACAACCTTTTCTACCACTCTTCTTTTTTTTTTTTTTTAAATTTTATTTTATTTAGATTTGGGTGAAGATTTACAGAGCAAAATCACTCTCGATACAGCAGTTCACATATACTTTGTCTCATGTCATTGACCACAATTTACCACAATGCAACAGCTCCCCT